GATTTCGACAATTTCGCGTCTTCCACGTTTATTTCGAACAAATGGAAAGTTCACTTTGCCGCGGCATTGAAATAAGCAACGAAACCGCGACTTTTTTTGTATCGAGAGGGATAAAATATCTATTTTATCATCTCTTATACAGCCAGCGACGTTCCTTGCTATTCTCGCCGGGATGAAAAAAAACCTCGTCGGGACAAGACGGGAGTTCTTAGTCGCCAGTCGTTCTGAACTCACAGAGTGGTCCCGCAAATGGTTCCGCTAGGACGCGTAAAGCGTACTGGCATAATCCGAGTGCGGATTAGCGTTCGATTAATGACCTGAGAATTGGAGGGCCAACTCGATTAATCACTAGTACTTGACCGAATGTCTAACTTCAGCGTGCAATTAAGCTTCGAGATAATTACGCATGTCGAGGTAGATCCATCTAAATAAATTCAAAAGCCATTTCATTTTCTAAACCACTGCGCATCTTGAATTCTAAAATTAATCAACTGACCTAATTATATTCTTGAAATATCTAATACCTGCTGTCTGTCAAAAAAAATTACACTTTTGTACTGTTATTTGGAAAAATAGTAAAATCAAATATTTAAATCATACGTTTAACTGCAGTACAATTAATAATAAACAATTTTTTGTTTCTTATACTATTGTATGTCTGCAATTCTTAAAAAAAATCTTATACAAAATGATTAAATATGCATTTCAATATTATATGCAAAAGAATATATTATGTGCACATAGAGGAAAGTCCTCTGTTACGAGATAGAATTCTACTATGAGATAGTAGGTTTTTAACGCCCAAATTAAATCACAAACCTTTTTTCGCAACGATTATACGATCTAACAATTAATTTTCCACTAAACAGACTTTACTTCAAGGGCAATAAATGCATGGTGGAACCAACAGATGATGTCTATTAATTTAGCAGAAACTCCGCTATCTCGTATTAGGAGCCTATCACATAAAAGGGACTTTCCTCTATGTGTAATTCATTTTGATTTGATCCTGACAAACTTCTCGTTACCGCGTTTAAGTCACCAAGAGATACATAAATAATTCCTATTTCGTATTCTATTCCTAATTCGTATATCATCAGTGGCGAATATAAAACAGAACTCCCTCTCAAGTGGCGACAAAGAGGACAAACCGAGTTCCAAGTGACGTGCCTCTCACGAGCACGATATATATCTTATCGAGCGCGAGCCCGAGATATGAAACTCTGGGTCCTCCGAGCGTTTCCTCGTCCTGCGAAAGGAGGCGGAGGATTGCGCGCACGCTGCACGACGTTTTACAGAAGGCCGAAGCAGCTGTTCCGGTTAGTTTAATATCGATATAGCGGTACGTTTCCAGTCGCAACGGCGAGCGGCGCGTTTCATTTTGGCGCGATACAAATACGGTATGTATCGTACGTACAGAAGGTGTGCGATTGTCTCGAATTCAAATCGAATCGAATCGACTCACCGAACGTTTTATGATAAATTTCGGAAATACAGTCTATCATGCGAGATATTATAGCTTTTACTCACGGATATGTGCAGTGACGTATTATTAGAGCAAAAGAATGATATGTACGAATATATATGGTGTATGAAATTCCGTGCTAAAGCTTTCGCAAGGATCAATCTTGGCTGTGAGAATGAAAAGGAAACTAAATCTTTGCAGCTACAGAGCAGCATTCTTTACTAAACAATTTAAGTTTTTGGCAGTTAAAATGATCATAAGTCGCAATGAAGAAGTAATTTCAAGTTAGCTAGCGTTTTGACTTTTGGACGTACAGATTTCATGCGTGAATCGCGAGGATTCAGCAATCACGCGACGATATCGATCGCTGATTATTCACAGAGAGCGATCGCGGTTTCTTCCCGTACTTGTCGGGACTATTCTAATGCGAGTAGGTTTTCAACGTCCAAATTCCACCACGAATCTTTTTGCGCAAAGATTACAGGATCTAACAATCAATTTTCCACTAAACAAATTTCACTCCAGGGGCAATAAATCCATGGTGGAACCAATCGATGACACTTGTTAATTTAGCGGAAACTCCACTATCTCGCATTAGCAGCCTATCTCATAATAGGGCGACTTTCCTCAACGTATAACACGCGATAACGTACACACGTATCCGGCGTGTGCTGTTATGAATTTCTCATCGAGTCTCTCCGCGGTGTGTGTGCTCTCCGCGCAAATTACCGGTACCGGTAATAACGGGGCGAATCCGAGCGTAGCATACCGGATTCCCGAGATGCGCGCCGCATCCGAGCGATGCGAATGCCGCACACACGTGCGCGCACTCGTCCCGGGTATCGCGAAGACGACAGGAATCGCAAGGATGTAAACCCGCGCCGCGTGTTTTAAGAGCGGGACACGTGCGTCGCGAAGCGGCGGGAAACCGCGCCGCGACGTCCGGATTTCTTCGGCGTCGAGACAGCGAGCCGGCGGGGAAGTAACAATGTTAAAAATGTCCCCACGGATAATTTCTCGCATGCCACGGGGACGAAAGGACGATACGGTTCCTCCCGGGATTCTTTACGAGGACTTTTAAGGCCGCGCTCGCGTCCCAGTAATCCGAGATAGCGTCGCGTACGAGACAAGTAAAACTCCGTTTTACTGGCACATTTTGACGTTAGACGTGGAACACGATATCCCGGAAATTATTGTTGGCCCCCGCGAGTTTTGCGTTTTCCTTCAGAAGCTGCAGCGTGAATTTCCTTCATTTTACTTCACGTTCTAGTTTCAACGTCCGTTTAATTCTCGTAACGTCGCGTAATTATATACGCATGTCAAACGTGTAATGTGAAATTAAATATTTAACGATCACTTGCCAGAACCAACTTTTTCCCTCGCTCGTTCCGGCGCAAATAAAACACGCGGACTGCACAAATTCAGTTAAAATAGGCAAAAATCTGGTTGCCCGAGAAAGCGCATCGCGAAAGTAAAATAACTCGGGTAAGAGCAGTAAGATAAATAATAACGAGGACGAGGTGGGGAGGTTCTTGCGTCTTACTTAAACGTAGAAATAATTCTGTCCCCTCCCCCCCCCCTCCCCGTGCATTTCCGTTACACTTCGCAGAGAGAACGCTTCCGGAACGCTAAATAAAATTAGACGGCGCCGGTGATGGAAACTGTCGGTTTTCCTTGCAAATCGCGTTACACAATTCAGACTAATAACGGCGCTTCCGGCGGCGCAAAAATTTAATTATCGTCTCCATCCTGGCGCGCATTAATGCCGAGGGAAAATTATATTTTATGCGATTTTCGTGTTCGCGGGATTGTCCGCGGATGCGTAAGGAATTCCCGTCGTAGGGGCACGGCATACCAATGAGGAGGTTCTTCGCGTCCCGGGGGCCGAGTTAGTCCCAGTCTACAATAGAGATTTAAACCCTATAAAGCCTTAAGAAATTGACTAATCACAATCGCGTATTCTACTCGTACGTGATTGGTCAATTTCTTAAAGCTTAGGGCTTAAATCCTCTATTGTAGACTGGGACTTATCGGCTCGTTCATTCGCAACGTACATCGCGTATTAGCAGACGGTGTCGCGCTTTATTTTACACAGCGGTGACGCCGCCCCCGGTGGAGCCATTTGCAAATGAGGCCGCGCGGCAGCGGAGAGAATGCGCTTCGATGTTTTTTTAATGAAATCGGCCCATCGAGCAACTGTATACACATATACCGCCGGTTGCGGAGTAAAATTAAAGTTCCCGAATGGCGGATTGTTTTAATTAGCGTTGCATATGCGCGGCAAAAATAACGGCGGCGCGGCGACAATGAATATTAATGACATATTTAAAGGACGCTGCTGAGCGATTATGTTAACATGCATAAGATTTTAATAGAATAGGCTGTATAGCGGGACCGTCCAGCGGCGAGAAAACGCGAGCTTGTTTAAATAACGCATTTAAATAACATCGTGCCTGATATTTTTTTTTGTTTGCCACGCCTGTAGTCCAAGCTAATGTATTAGAATGATGAGGATATGCGTTGGCGATATCCCGGCTAAAAATGTTCGCAATATTCATAAAAGCGGCAAAAAAAAAAGCCAGACGACTTGCGTCGCGAGACAGTATCATAAGTGTAAAAGCAAGTGTCCCGCAGAGTGGATACGGCCATTAATAATTCTAATGTTTAACAATCCAAGTAAAAGCCTCTTCGCAATGGAAGTCCGACAGCGGACGCCCGTCCTTTGCATTAAATGTCCTTAGACGGACAGGAGTCATATTACAGACGTTGCCTCCAGAATCCGAGTAAAAAGCGATACGAATTAGCTACCGCTTCTAGGAAATGAGATATTTTCACGTCTGGAAATTATGTTATATTTTCGAAGTAAACTTTTACAAGATAAATTTGCAAATCCTGTAAAGAAAAAGTATTCGTACATATTTTCAAATGCAGACACAAAGTATCAATTGTGTAATTAATCAGAAGCGTACCTCTTAAATTACTAGTACATTTAACAAAGATAAAATGATTGAAAAAATTGGCCATTGATATTTTCCATTGTACAAACTTTACGACTGATGCCAGGACTCCTCCGCGAGATGCAATGATTTTTTCGAAATCTAAATGCAGCATTTGTAATAATTATGTAATAACAGTGACGTAGCGATGAGAAGACATGTTCAACAACATGCATTTGACCAATTTCGATACAGCAAATTCTACTACGGATGTGAATATTAAAATTACCTTTTATTTCTTTAAAATTAGACGAAGAGCATAAAATATTAAGAGACCGAGCGACAATCCAGTTTAGAGGCCTGTGTGTCAAACTATCTTATCTTATATCGCCAAGCAAGCAGTTGTCAAAAATTTGGTTGCTCGTACGATATTTCAGCCAAAAACAACGAAGAAAATGAGTGCGAAGATCCTGCACGACATTGTTAGCGTAAAAGCTACGTAGTTTACAAATATAAAGTTTCCAGTTAACGACCTGTTTAGACCTGTTGCCAAGAAATTTACAAAATTTAGATTGTTGAAAAGCATAACGTCTCAATAAGTAAAACAATTATTTATGTATTGTAACACTAAAAACATTTTTCAATCAATTTCCAATTACACAGTTCAATACAAAATTTATAATATATGTATAATAATATATAACTTTATATGATGATAAAGACAGTTGCATGATCATTATTTTGATATAAATAGATTATAAACAATATGTTAAAAATACATACAATAAAGAAGTTGATGATACAATTATTTTTTATGTATTCAAGAAATATATGGCAAAAAAAGGGCGTGAAACGCCTTCCTGTAGTGTTTTATTCATTTATCTGTTAAACGGTACAGATAATTCATAGTATTCACACAAATATCACACGTTAAAATTTTTCAAAATAGAGGAAAGAATTTCCTTTTTCACGGCAATTTCGCGATAAACTTCGTTCCAGGGACCATACGTAAGATCTATAATTTCTTCCGCACGATTTAAATATCGTCGTGTTTTCTTCAACACGTTTCTGTAACAAAATACACAATGCATTGTAATAAACGGACGTAATTATACTTTAGCGTAATCTAAGTGATAAAAATTTGATATTTACTTATAATATTTTGATGACGTATTAGATTCCTCTTGCAAATATTGCAAGCATATATCCGTTAATTTATTTATTTCATTGCAGACTTCAATGCTCCGAAAACCGTATCTTTCTTCGATAATTACGAGACTGTGGTCGAGATACGAAATTGAATTCAACCATTGTCCTAAAATCAGAGAATAATAACAATGTTATTGGAATGACAAACAGCTCTGGACAGAAACGATTAACTTAAAATTGTCTGAACAAGAAAGTTTAATCCCACACGAGTACCATTTCCATATTTACATATTTTATATTTTTCATATCGCTGATACAAACCCTTAATAGCGTAGACCTTTGCCATGAGATCCATGGTGGCAGCAATGTCCTCGTGATATTTGTATAATGCATCTTTTCTAAGAAGCAAACATTCTTTCAATTTAATTAATGCCTCTTCGTACTTTTCATTTTCCACGCAAATTTCTGCTTTGGCAAAATGGTGTTGAGCCTGTCTCAATATAAAATCATAAGTGTTTTCATAGACTGCCACTCCGCAATCTATACAGTACATAGAAGATTGACAGTTATCACTCAACGGTCCGCTACATTCAGGACATTTCAGCGCAGTAAATTTCTTCTACAAGAAAATAGCAATTTTTAATATTATACATTATATATCTACACATGTACAAACAAAATCTGATGTACAATATTGTAAATATCTAAAAATGATGGATGGTTTACCAAAATATCTTCATATTCTGGTATGGTGCATGCTACACAATTGCACTTGAAGCAGTATTGACTTTCCATTTTTTCCTGTCTTTCTCTTCGCAACATTCTTCTAAAATCAGCCCCTATCACATAACATCGAAAGTGAAATAAAAACTAGAAATCAAATATAGCGGCTTGTTAATTTACCATAAGCTTTTAACATACCATAGCAATTAAAAACTTCTTCACCTGCCGCAATATCCCGCGTGGCTTTAGTTATTAAAATTGATCCTAAAAAGCTAAAGAATAACAGCGTTAATGCTATTTAACTATATAGAAATGTTGATGTCCCATGCACATTTATATAAGCAGTGAACAACTGTTTCATTTCTCATAATCAAAATATCTATATATTACCTATTAATTATATTAGGATCGCAAGAATGATTCATCATGCTTGCAGAGGGATAAATCGCTGTAGCTATTCTATCTTGTTGTTGAATAAGGAGTTTATTTTTATTGTTATCTGCTATCGCGTTTATCTTTGTGATAGCATGCCCATTAGAAATAAGTTGTAATATGTGTCTCAACAGTAGAGAACTTACATACAATCGTTCATCTCCCTCTGTCGTGAGGTCACAATTGAAATCGTTACAAAACTTTGATATTAAGCATTCTTTAAGATTGATAACTTTAAAAAAATCAGTACATTTCGACAGATACATCATAAGCATAATTGCCGTCTGAAAGAAAGAAGCGGATTAATTTGGGGCGATGGGATAAAATTTTGTTTTATGAAGAAATTCTCTGCGCAGACGTCACGTCACACATCTTATTTTCATGAAAATTGTATCGCTTACGATTCCATACGAAATAACGTCGCACGGCTGGAGCTTAGAAAAATTAGTCACTAGCTCTTGCACTTCATCGAGTCTGCTACCATCGGTCGCGGTTGTACATTTAAACAACATTCTTACAGCCAGGTATCCTATTCCAATTTGCGGCCAGAGGCCCATTTGATTGCCGACACACTCCCAGCGGTGGTAAGAGCGTGCTTCATCCCAACAATTAATAGTGCAATACATACTGTCGACACACTCCGTACATCTGTGTAATGCGAGACATTTGATATAGCTTTCTTTCGATTCCTTACAGCGAATTCGGCAGCTTGCACTAGTGCGCACTGAGTGCACACCAAGGCTTATTCAGAGTCTACTCTTATATTTATGGTCATCTCAAGTACATGTCCAAAAACTATTTAGCCAAACAAAAATTGGCTGTAAACAAGCCTTATATCCGTATTCATAGTCGTTCCTCAATTCTCAAGGTTAGTCTGTCTTTGTCTCGCTACTACGTTTTACCATACGCGAGACAAAGACAAACTACCCTTGAGAATTGAACGACTATGAATACGGATATTAGTGTGCACTAATGCAAGCTGTCGAATTCGCTATTAAAGAGCAAGAAGTACAGAATGTAGAACTCACGGTACAGCAATATCGCCGCACGAGCGACAACAATTGTAACAAACGTCAGCTTTAAAGTGAGACAACGGGACGAAAGCGAACGCCTTTTCAACGAACAGAATCTGACCTCTTTTGATATCTCTATTAGCTACGACGGATCTTCCCTTTTCCGGAGCGTATTTCATATCTATCGCCGCTGACGCAGACCAAAAATTAGGATTCTCGCCATACGCAACTTCAGGCTGTGGAAATTCCGTGCTTTCTGCAGTATTATCTGCATTGTCTTCCATACACGATATTCTTGATGTTATGTCGCTCATTTGTCTCTCCAATTGCTCTAAAAAGTTTCAATGGTGATTTCAGCGATTGTGCGAGAACATACGAGACGTCGACGACGAACCATTTTCTTACAAAGTGGATACCTGCCTTTCTTTTCACTTGGCATATTACGCTGATTCAATATGCTGTGCATTTGTAGAACAGTTTCAACGGCCGACGCTCTATTACCTAATTTCAGGTAACACTGAGCCGTACGCAGATGCAGTTTATAGCGCAAGTTCTCGGGATAGCCGAATTTAATGGCCAATTCGATGTCGTTGATGCAATCCTTTGCGTTATCATGTCAAACAATTAATTTGCTTATAAATAGAATAATTGCCATTACAAAGAAAATATGAGAAGGAAGTAACTAAACAGTTGTCAAGAGAAAAACAATGCGTCTTAAGCCAACGGCACACGATACTATTTTTCCTACTGGATTCCTTACGAGAGCCAACCAGGATTCAGCTTTGAGTCACCTGATCGAAAACTCTGCGTCCTGATTGGCTCTCGTAAGCAATCCAGTAGGAAAAATAGTATCGTGTGCCGTTGGCTTTAAACTGGAATCTCTCTATTTGGGTAGGTAAATACCTGCCATCTGTCCAAGTAGAATAGAGAGGCCGATCTGTTGGCGATCGCTATTGCCAAATCTACGCTATTCGTGGGGGCGTACAGCGCGCTCTTCGTATACAATTGCAGAGACGCGGCATACTTCTTGGACTGAAACTCCTTGTTCCCGGACAGCTTGAAGGCTGTCGATATATCCAAGTTCTTCCGCTGCTTCCTCTTGTCCTTGGTGCTGTGGAGATCTTTCAGCCACAGGGACACAAATTTCCTGCATCCCAATTGAGACAATACAGCACACCCCGCGCGCGCATTTCAATCGGCAATGAAACGAATAAGCAATCGTGTCCTAAAACCTGACTTTACACCCCAACGGACAAACACAGGTGTATTACTGTTAATTAAAAGTGCCAATTAGGGTGGAGCAAGGGTGATTTCACCTGGGAAAAACGAACTAGTTAGGAACTCTTCGTTATCTCGCCGGGACGAATGCGAGGGGGGGGAAGGAGAGACTATTTTCTCCAAGGTCGGGACGACGAAGAGCTCTCCCCCCGGGATTCGAGACATGCAGGCCCAAACACGACCGTACTCACATAACCTCCTGATTGCGCAACAAACGCGACATCAGCTCGCTCTCGTGCTTCATGTCCCTTATCTCGTCGTTGAGCTGCGAGAGCTTCAGCGTGCAATTCAAGGTATCGATGACCTTATCCCAGTCCATCTCGGTCACGGCGTCCGCGACGCGCATCATCGTACGTCGACGGGAATGACGGGACCGTAGCTCGCGACGTAGACGACACGGGAAGTTGCCTGTAACGACACGAGTTGCTAAGGGCAGCGCGGTAGAGGAAGGGTGGGGAGACCAGAGACTGGTAGACTGTAGAGTGCCTTCCGAGTTCAGCGTGGATTTGCGCGCGGCGCAGAAGAAAAGAGAGAGAGAGAGAGCGAGAGAGGGGGAGGGAGCGAGGGAGAGAGACGACCCTCTCGGTCCCTTCGCGGACCGATTCTTCGCGCGCGTAGGCGGCCGTAGGGAAAGTGAGAGACGAAACCTGCGTGCGCTGCGTTCTCGGGATTCTCGACGTTGTTCGGTGAAACGGGCGCGCGTCCAGTCCAGTCGTCGCCTCAATCTTCAAGCTCCGCGCGATCGTCGCCTCGTTCGGTTTATCCCGCGCCGAGGGACACGCCGCGGGTGGTCCAACCGGAAGCTAACGGTTCTCGGTGCCCTCGGTCCTCGGTGGTCAGGCGATCAGCTGTTCGGCGTCGAAGATTCTCGGCGCGTGGAATGCAGTTCCGGAAGACGCCGCAGTCTGCGACGTAACGCCGGGATTTAAAGTCGCGCTCGTCGCGAACGGACTAGATTCTCGGAGTCCGTGATAAGTTGAGGAAGAGAGTGAAATCCGCGGAAACATGCCCCAGGGGAGGCGAAAAGTTCCGTACAGCGGAAAGGCCAAGAAGCAGCAGATGCAGGCTAAAAAGGAGAGGCAACGAACCGTACTTGGTAAGTATCCATGCGTCTATTGTACATACATACACTGAAATCACAAAGGTCTTGCGACTGCGGTAACAGTTTTCCAAGCGCGAGCAAGTAACCGGGATATTTGAATGAATAGCCAGTACCGCGAAGTCGTGTATGCCGTGCACTTGAAGATAAAATTACAGAGATGGAATTTATAGCTGAACTGTTGGCGAAAGTTAGGAAGGTCTTTGTGGCGTCTATTCTTTATAAAAGTTTGACTGCGGTGCACGCAACGTCTGTATCGCTTGAGATAAATTTAAGATAAAGAGGTGAACTGCTCCAGTTCTGGTTTCATTTTTATTCAACGGCCAAGAAGAATTGAATCTCTTACTTTCATTGACTCGCAGCTCAGGACGTCATCGTTTCTCCCTAGTTGCATTATTCTTTGCGTTATATTTAGCCGAACACCACCGGACTCATAACACAAAGCGTTAACGAAGCATAGAGAATAGGCCTGTTCTTTATTACTGCACTACTGAACTAGTGCAATAAGTTAAAATGAAACAAATAGATTACCTCTCATTCCAACTCATTTCACCAGTGTGCACTAGTTCAGGAGTGCAGCAATAAAAAACAGACCCAATATGATTTACGAGACTGGTGCGAGATTTACGAGACACAAGAAGTTACAGAATAGGGTCGCTCTTTGTCGGCACCTTTGATCTGGGCGTTCTTTCTCTCTTTCTCTCACTTTTCCGCAATGTTTTTATAAGCTCCAACAGTGTCGATGGCTAAAAAGTACCTGGACCCTCTTCAGGATTGTATCCAGAAAATGCGCATACAAACTGGCATACATTATTTATTGTAAGCGGAAATGGCCTATGAAGAGAAATTGTTTTAATAAAAGCGAAGATTCCAGGCACTTTTAGCTGTTGATATACTGTTGGAGCTTATAAAAACATTGCAGAAAAGTGAGAATGCCCAGAATAAAGAGTGATATAACCCTACTGGTTATACTGTGACCATATTGCGAACAATGCCCATGAAATGCGACCATATTTTCACCTACCCTCGCTGGAATTGAGTCTCTTGGTCTCTGGTCTTCTTGCCAACAGCCTTGAAACCTAAACTTTCCACAGGATGTAATAAATTCCGCAGGCTGCAATTTTCTAGTAGATACAAAAGATAGTGATAAATACTTGTTGCGACACCCGGAAATCTACCTGCGTTAGCAAGATAATTTTTTGAGCGAGAAGAGGATCAATTTTGTATCTTACACTATAGTGAAACGTGTTCTCAGCTCAGTTTTAACATTTTTACTATATTGACCCCCAGGATTACTGAGATTTAATTTGAGAACTCGGCGCCTTGCATTATTTGTAAAATGTCTAACGAAATTGCGTCTTGTCTTTTCTTTTACCACTTTATGAAAGATTGATGTTATAAGAGACATGTGTGCCTTCATCGGCAGTGAGTCCAGATAACGAGGAGAGCTGCAGCAACGCTCAATACAAGAGGCAAGTGATGAGGATAAATGAACAGCCGAGCGATGGCAAATCTTCGAGGAACAAATATGCGCTGCAGTTCTTTCAAGAGTCCAACGAGAAATTGCGAAAGCGCAAGGAACGAGCTTTTAAAAGTGTCGAACCTGTGAGTCTCAGGGAACAAGAGGTCTCCGACAATTATTTTCCGCCCGGGATCGACATGCCAAAGCGACCCCCCTGGGATTTTAACATGACGAAGGAGCAACTGGAGACGAAAGAACAGAGATACTTCACGGTGCGTATTTGCGACCTTGCGCCACGCAAGCTTAGTTTATACAAGCGCGTTACTGACTAACGATTTTTTCTATCTAGGAATACTTAAATAGCATGGAGGAATTGGCTGACTTGAGCTACTTCGAAGTGAATCTAGAAACCTGGCGACAAATGTGGAGGGTTCTGGAGATGTCGGACGTCCTGTTGATTATTGTTGACATCAGATATCCCGTTCTAATGTTCCCTCCGTATTTGTACGACTATGTGACGAAGAAACTGAAGAAGGATATGATCTTGGTGTTTAACAAAGTCGACCTTGCACCACCGGCGTTGGTGGTGGCTTGGAAAGAGTATTTTCACAATCAGTATCCAAAATTACACATTTTAATGTTCACGTCGTATCCCACTTACAATCTTCGCGGTAATACGGACGACGAGAAGGGTTTAAAGAATAGGTCTCGTAAGGGAAAACTGAGAATGGCCGCGGAAGGTGCGCAGAAATTACTGGAGGCTTGCAGAGATATTGTTGGGGATAAAGTCGACCTAAGCTCCTGGCGTGCGAAGATTCAGGAGGAGATGCACTTGGAATACGATTTAGACGACATAAGTCATACGGATAACGTGTCGATAGAGACGATAGACACCACTTATTTTAAACACGAAAAATACAAAAATGGGGTTTTGACCATTGGGTGCATTGGAACGCCGAATGTTGGAAAATCCTCCTTGATGAATGCGTTGATGGGTAAGCGAGACTATTCCGTATTACGTAACTGTATTCTAATTATACGAAACGATTTATCTAATATTTGCTTCACAGGTAAGAAAGTTGTGAGTGTGTCTCGCACTCCTGGTCACACTAAGCACTTTCAGACCATTTATCTCACAAAGACTGTGTGTCTGTGCGACTGTCCTGGTTTGGTCTTTCCCTCGACCGTGCCGAAAGAGTTACAGATATTAATGGGTTCGTTCCCGATCGCTCAAGTCAGGGAACCGTATACTGTCGTACAATTTTTGGCCGAAAGAATAAACCTACCGAGATTGCTGAAGATTCAACATCCAGAGAACGATGACACATGGTCCGCTATGGATATCTGCGACGGATGGGCTCTCAAGAGGAACTTCCAAACGGCGCGAACAGCTAGATTGGACACGTACAGAGCAGCGAATTCCTTGCTACGAATGTCATTAGAAGGAAAAATTTGCTTGTTCATATACCCGCCGAATTGGACCATTGATAGAAGTATTGCTTTATTCTCTCTTATTTGACAAAAAATTACTCTTCACTGAAAAAATTATTTAGACAGCTATACTTAAAATATAATTTTTAAATCATATATCATGTGAGAAGTTAAATATTTGAAACAAAGATATAAAGATAAATTGTATTTGGGATGTGAAAACACAATGTACAATAACTAATGTTTTTGCAGGAAAATGGGAAAATCATGCAGATGTTGAGACGGTGAGATGGATTCAAGCTAGGAATAAAGGTGATAATTTCAGTACACCGACTGATAATATGTCTTCTGAAAGTGAAGAAAGTGACGATGAAAGACTGACTGAATCCTCTGGGAGTATAGCAAATAACACAGCGAACGGTTTAACGGAATGGCCAGACGAGGAAAACGATGTGCCGCTTGTAGCTAATAAGTTTTCATTGTTATCTACGGAATAATAAAATAGTTTATCATATATTGCATCTTACTCAGATGTTTTATTTACTCCTTTTTTTACACACATATTTTTTCTCAATATATAATGAGCAACCTGATGATAATGAAGAGCAGTCGAGTGATTTTCCTGTGTTTTCGCCCGCGAAACACAATCGTTACTATAACATAGAATATTTTACGAGTAAAAATAGATTATTTGTACAAGCTGCTACTCTTCTGCTAATATTTTCCTCATTTTGCATAATTTTTTAAGGTCACTGTGTGTGTATAAGTTATTTACAATGTAGTTCTAGTTTGCAATCCTGGTTACTTTGTTGCTTTGGTCCACTATGAACTAATCGAAAATAAAAATTTCTAGTTACAAAAGAAAGCTATATTGTTGAGACTACTTCAGGGACAAAGCATAAAAATAATCTATAACGATATCTGTAGGTACGCAAGAAGTAATCTCTAGTGTTCTAACGTTCGTGCCTAATATGAAATTGTGCAAGATAAACGACTTCTATTTTCTCGAAAAATATTTGCTTTGGTATTTTGTACAAGGCATTTCTCAATTATGCTGCTTATGTAAGTTACGCAGAAACACCCTGTTATATATTCTTTAATCCTACCGAGATCCATTTACAAACTAATTTCTAGCTTGTCGCTATAAAAGAATTCTAATCTTTCTAAGCCAATATTATTGTGGGCAAACTAGGGAACTTAATTAGATAAAATGCTACTTTACGTCGATTTTATACAACGTAATAACATAGCGTTACGATTATATCTTTAAATTGTCAAACTGTTTTCTAAAACAACAACTATACATTGCGATGAACAGTATTTAAGCTCCCAAGATCTTTTTTACGGAGTAACCTGGTATTGCGTAAAAGAATAAGAGCAAAAGTATGATCAATCCGATCGCAATTATAGCTTTCAGAATAGCCCATTTATAATTGTGCCAAACTATATACTTGATGGACTTCAGTGGATTGAGAAACCACATGAATGATGCATCTGGTCGACTGTAAAAAATTAAGGGCATAAAAATTAGATATCAAACGCGTAACAAGAGAAGAAATTGATATATTGCTGTGTTTTATTATACTGACTTTGGCTTGTCCAGTGGATCGGGTTCGCTTCTACCAAAACCAGCAGGGATTTTCTCGGCCTCCTCTTTCGTGAGCAAATGTATCTCAGCTTCGACCTTGCCCTGTACAAAGTAATAAAGCACAATTTTTGACAAAATGTAATTAATGTGTATAATCTAATATCAATATACTTAATTAAAAAATTTACAAAACTGCTAATTTTGTTGTACACTAGATACATATTATTAAACAATTTAGATTTATATATAAAGGAAAGTCCTCTCTTATGAGATAGGATTCTAATGTGCGATAGTAGGTTTTCAACGTCCAAATTCAATCGCAAATCTTTTTTCGCAACAATTACACGATCTAACAATTTTCCACTAAACAGATTTCACTCCAAGGGCAATGAATTCATGGTGGAACCAACAGATAATGTCTATTAATTTAGCAGAAACTCCACTATCTCGTAGTAGGAGCCTCTCTCAGAATAAGGGACTTTCCTCCAGTGGTATCTTATACCGTTAGCTCCATGTCTTCATTCTCTTTCTTCACGTAAAACGGCCACCATCCTTTTATACGTTTTTGCTTGAAGATGTTAACCATCGGCACAGAACCGTCTGTCTTTAGCATGCCCAGTGAGCAGAGCTTACTATTTTTTGCTCCTCGGGGAAACCGATTGAGATCGAGGGTTATCGCGCCCAAGAAATCATCTGCGGAGAAATGATCTGCATCCCAGACCTGCAAAGGGCGTTATCCTTATTTATCTATCGGAACGAGATCAAAATCAGCTTCATGTTCAATATTACCTGTAGTTCCAGGCGTGCGGGTATCTTACATTCGGTTTCATCCCAGCTAAATAAGCTTTCTTTACGATTGATAACGATCTTCTCTTCTGCTACCAGATAATCGAATGGAAATAGGAAGCGCCAGTTAAAGTTTCCTTCGCCGGTCAATGATCGATAATGAATATCGGTAGATTGACAGTCCTCCGGTCCTTTTAGCCATCTGTTAAGCATTGTTGAAGTAAAATGCAACGTAATTTAATAGTATTTAAATCTCGAAAAATGGGATTAATATAATATTTTATACTGTCTTGAAAGTTAAAAATATTTTATACTTGAAACTCGTTTTTGATTCATATTATCGTTAATATTAATAATCAATACATCAATATATCGTTAACATTAATACCAAGATTAAAACTAAATTTCTTTTTCTTCTCCTTTCTACATATTTTCTTTTTGGGAGCCTTCACAACTTTTGGAATAAATTTCTTTTGTACATTCACTCGTATGTAGAAAATATCGATGAAAAATTAATTCCCTTCAGGAGTCTATATTTACCCTTTTACATAAATGTCACTCATCTTCTCGCCGGTGAAGAAAGCGTCATCTTCCAGAACGACGTCGTCTGTATTCCATATGATAACTCGCAATTCATAACTCTTGGGCTTTCTCGGTGAAATATCGATGGATGGTCCGGGGGAGGGCATATCCATTGGAAACATGTCCACCCACATTTCCAATTTTCCCTGCTCGATTCCAGGTTTCTCAGGATTATAAAGCGGTCGGGTCTCCACGTGTTCAGGTACCAGAGCGCAACCTATTCGCGGAAAGGCGTTCCATTGGTGAAGAACAGCTAAGGCAAGATGTTCTTCCATTCCTAAAAGAGTAATCTTTTATGTGAAATGGCATTTATATCAACGCCGCTTATTCAAAAGTTTCGCAAATCATGTTATAATATATCAGATTATTACCGTATCTTACACATTATGTAATTTATATACTTATATATCTGCTTTTGTATATATGTACATACGTTTTTTCCATATCTGAATAATTATTCATAATTTTCTGATTTTTGTAATTAGATAAGTTTTAATTAGGTAATTTATAAATAATATTTGTATATTAGATGTATAATAAATCAAAGTACATATACTAAAATTATATGTGCATATATGTAGTTTATAGACTCAGACATAGAAGTATCGATTGCGTATTCTTCCATTTATTCTTTTCACAGACCCTTTGTATGCACATAATATTCCATCTCTTCGTTTGAAAGTGAAAAGGTTTTTCTGCCGATTGTAACGCGCCCATGAGAATACATTGGCCCATCAATTTTGCCATCTTTGCATAACTTCGAGAGTATCTGAGTCGGTTTCATCGCATCCCTCCATTTATTATATCCAGATCTGGAGCAGAAATAACGTGTAATCAACCTCCTGCATCGGAATTTATTTGCGTTCTTGCATTTGGTTTTCTTATCTCTTTTATGTTAATCTAGAAGGTACATTATGTTACTTTTCAAGGTGTACAATATGTGTGCAAAGGAATATGTAGCATAAATGATAGCGAATAGAAAATTATAAGGAAATGGTTTCTTAAGAAAGTGGTCTTGGCCAAAGAGGATCATATAGAGTGGAAGCTGGCCGTGTACCGCGATTCGTGCCATCTGACAGTTCGGAGACGCACTACGTGTAGTGTGTCACCGTGCAGCTTATATATCACTTTTTAACATTTATTCTCAAGTGTATGCGATAGCCACGTGCGTTAGACGTCGGACCGTCACCCGCGCGAGCCGGGTTCGATTCCCGGCGAGCAAGATTTTTTTTCTCGATATATTATTGAAGAGTGGGGGGATTTAGGATGGCCTCTGAGCTGGTAGATGGCTCTGAAATTCGGCCACGCTATTTAACATTGTGCTCTTATGGCAGCTTCCACTCTATATGATCCTCTTTGGTCTTGGCGTAAATACGTGTTAGACGAAAGAGATTACGATGAAAAAGTAATCACTTGTCCTTGTTAAAAATACTTTCTGGATTCGCTAGTTTTAAATAAATGGTTACTGACGATGTGATAAAAGTCGCTCTGTTGTTAGATTTACCGAATTGCGTGACACGACATTTGTTTCATTGCTGGGAAAGGTCTCGTTTGTGCCATGCACGACATATATATGATGCTATTCATTATATACAAACTCACTCATCGTATTTCTTCGCGAGTCCGCACGTAGCTCGATGTCTGCTGTAGAAGCGGTTTTCCAGGTCGATCTTGGTCTCGCCGATCATATCGTCTGTTCCGACCAAGTCCCAATCTAGGACTTGTACAGTAAGCAGAGAATCCTGCGGAAATGTTGCCTCAATCTCGAAACATCTTAAACGTAATTTTGCAATTAGATTCAAAATGTAGAGAAACAACGATGTTTTGACTTTTAAAAACAAAAATTTTAAGAAAACATACGAAAGGAAAAGAGTAATAAGAAGAACTTTTGCGAAGTTTATATGTCGCAAATAACTTACTTCTAGAAGCATTCTTTTCGTTTAAACAATTTCATTTGAACATAAGAAATAATACAATAGTAAGAAATAATACGATAGTAAGAAACGACAGATCGAATTTTGATTCTGCTATATGTGGCATATTAAATGTAATACGTAATAATGCAACTCAAAATGTCCGTAGAAAGATAATTTTCTCGAAAATTTAGACCATTGAGTCTCTGTACTGTCAGAATCCCTTTAATTAAAAAATTATAGTGCTATGATGCATAGAAAGCACATACTTTCCAAAGACTGGATTCAATTGTTTTGACACATAATTCTCCTTATCGCTAATCCTCTTGCCTCCCAATTGTAAGACCACATAGGGATCTGCTTTCCCGTTGAGATCGCAGGGATGAAGATCGTTAGCTTTGACGATGTACACCCGTACCAGAACATGAATAGGCTCGTTCGACGGGACACCCTGGAAGAATCCGTATTGTGGATCGAAACCCATCACGGTGTGATCCACTAGATCCTTGGGCAGCGGCCACTTGTAGACTTTCAATGCGCCCTTGAAGCTGCCGACAATCCTTGACTCATCTTCAGTCTCGTCTCCGGTCTTCTTGCCTCGATATAGCTCGAAAGTGTGCAACCATTCCTTAAACTGCTCGAACT